GTGGGCTGGGGGATAGCTTCTCAATAAAATGCTATTTTGTCTGGTATTATAAGCAGCTTCTCAGCCCTCTTGGACAAACTTGAAGGAAAAAAAAAAAAGGAGAGTGAAGTTGTGCTAAAAGAGAATCAGAATCTTGTTTGTGAAATTTGTCCGGTGGTAGTCAGTCAACTCTTATTTCTCCTAGTAATAAAGATGCACAGCTATGAAGAGGATTAAAAAACCCATTTTGAGATTATTTTTGTTACAGATTGAACTTTCTAATTGTGTTTTTCATACACAGTGGTGGATCTGGGGTAGACAGGGAGCTTACTCTGAGTGGAAGGAAGTGACTGGAAGTGTTTTTAAATGTGAAGATAAACAATAAATCCGTCTCAAAGCAGCATACCTACCAGGCACCTGTAGGTGCATTTACTTGCATAGATATGTTTATTAACAATTAAAAAAACATAAATGGGGCATATTATATATATTTATATTTTGTGATTTGCCTTTTCAGTAAATGATATACTGATGAGGTTTTTCCATATTTTACATAATTATGTACTGATTGGGTCTGTATTCAATTAATTTTATTTTACTTTTTTTTTTTAATCCTCAGGGATGTTTTATTCATTTTAGAGAGAGGAAAGGAGAGTAAGAGAGAGACATCAATGTGAGAGAGAAACACGATCGGTTGCCTCCTGTTGGCACCTGGACTGGGGATTGAACCCACCCCGTATACGGGGCGATGCTCCAACCAACTGAGCCATAACCAGCCAGAGCTATTTTACACTTATTTTTAAGGAACTAAATGAAATTAACATATTTTTATTGCAAAATATTTAACTATACATATAAAGCAAAAGTCCTTGAATTTCATGCCAGAGGTAATTTTTCTTATCAGTATGATGTACACTTGGTTCTTCCTGTTTTTAAAACACACACACACACATGATTTTAGTGAGTGATTTAAAAATTATTAACCTCAATTTTTCTGCAACTTTCTTCTTTTTTACTTAACAATATACCTTAGTGACATTTCCTGGTTAGTACATAGATATCTACCTCTTTATATTGTATTCCATAGAGTGGATTAACCATAGCTCTTGGTGAACACCCACATTGTTTTCATTATCTGACAGTTATAAACAAGTTACAGTAACTATTCCTGTACTTGAATCTTTGTGTACCTGTTCAAGTGTTCTCTAGTATAAGAAACAAAGTTGCTGGGTTGATGGGGATGTGCATTTTTTATTTTAATGAGAACTGCCAAACATCTTCCAAAAATTCTGTACAACTTTGACCTCTCACTATTGGTAGTTTTCTATACCTTTAACAACACTGGGTGTTTTAAAATATTCTGTTCTCATGGATGATCTCATTGTCTTATTAATTAACTCATTTTCTCTTTTTATTGCTTTGGACTTTTATTACCTATTTTTATTTTGAATTCTTAGTTTTCTTATTAATTTGCAGGAAGTCTTTTAAAAAATAAATATTCTTTCCTGTTTATCTGTTACAAATGTTTTCTCCTCTATTCTTGTTTATAATGTAATTCATTACAAAGTATTTAATTCTTTTTATCTTTTTGAATTTTGTAACTTGCATCAGAAAAAGGCTTTCTCAACTCAAGGTTTATACACATACTTCTATAGTTAAATATTGGGGAGCCCAGCCAGTGTTGCTCAGTAGTTGAGCTTCGACCCATGAACCAAGAGGTTGCTGGTTTGATTCCCAGTCAGGGCACATGCCCGGGTGGCAGGCTTGATCCCCTAGTAGGGGGAGTGCAGGAGGCAGCCGGTAGATGTTTCTTTCTTATCATTGGTTCTTCTATCTCTCCATCCTTCTGCCTTCCTCTCTCTCTAAAAAAATCAGTAAAAACATTTCAAAATATATATTGGGGTAATGATTAAATTCTATTGTCCCAAAGACAGTTATAGATTTTTTTTTTACTGATAATGGAATATTATCTGTATCATAAGGTTAATTCTCAAACACATGTAGTTCTGTTCTGTACTCATTTCCACTGAATTATTTGTCTACTCTCCTGTCAGTATCATACTTGTAAATGACTATAGCTTTATAAAAATTTTGCTATTTGACCAGGAGCATTCCTTACAAAGTTAGTCCTTCTCAAAAAATTTTTTCTTATGTATTTTCACACCCAACAGTATTTTATTTACACTGTATTACAAAATATTACATAAATTTCTCTTGATATTTTGATAGTGGTTATACTGAATTTTAGATTAACTTGAGGGCAGTTTTACGTTATTGAGTCTTTTTGTCTGGAAATATGTTGTATCTTTATACTAATTCAGGTCTTATATGACCTTTAGTCGAGTTCTATGGTTGTCTGCTTAAAGGTCTCCCACATTTCTTTTGTGTTTATTCTTGAATATTTTGTTGGATTTGTTGCTGTTGTGATTGGACTTGCTAATTATTGCTCATTTATAGAAAGACTTGATTTTTTTGTAAGTTGATTTTTTTGGGGTCATAGAATGGTACCAAAATCTATTCTAATAGTGTCAGTTGAGTCTCTTGATGTTCAATCTAGAACATCTCTGTCCAGTAGAAATATAATGTGACCCATAGATGCAAACCACATATGTAATTCTAATTTTCCAGAAGTCATATTAAAAAACAGTGAAAAAAACAGACAAAATTTACTTTAACAATACACTTTAATGCAATATATCCAACAAAATATTATCATTTCAACATGTAATCAATATTTAAAAATTAGTGACAGATTTTTACTTTTTTTTGTATTAAGTCTTTGGATCTCCATGTGTATTTTAATACTTAAAGCACAATGCGGTTTAGACTATATAGCCACATTTCAAGTTCCCAGAACAGCCAACAGTGGCTAGTGGCTACTGTATTGGATAGTGCACAGATTGCTTATAAAAAATTAAGTTTTTTTCTTTTTTTTTCTTGTCTTTGTTTTTCTTTCCTTAATATCTTTTGCTTAGTGTTCCAGTAGTACAGTATGGATGTTGGTGATATTAATGGAATTCTAATCTTTGACCATTGTGAATTTCTTTTTTTTAAAAATTTTTTTATTGATTATTACATATGTGTCCTTATCCCCACATTACCCCCCATCCCCCCTACTCATGCCCTCACCCCCATATTGTCTGTGTCCATTGGTTAGGCCTATATGCTTGCATATAAGTCCTATGGTTGATCTTTCCCCCTTCCCCCCACCCTCCCCTACCTTCCCTCTGAGGTTTGACAGTCTGATCGATGCTTCTCTGTCTCTGGATCTGTTTTGGTTCATCAGTTTATGTTGTTCATTATATTCCACAAATGAATGAAATCATGTGATATTTATCTTTCTCTGAATGGCTTATTTCACTTAACATAATGCTCTCCAGGTCCATCCATGCTGTTGCAAATGGTAAGAAATTATTTTTTACTGCAGCGTAGTATTCCATTGTATAGATGTACCACAGTTTTTTAATCCACTCATCTACTGACGGGCACTTAGGCTGTTTCCAAATCTTAGCTATGGTGAATTGTGCTGCTATGAACATAGGGGTGCATATATCCTTTCTAATTGGTGTTTCTGTGAATTTCTGATTAGGTAGACAAACCAAGAAGTTTTTCTTTTTCCTTTTCTAGTTGTAAGAATTCTCTTTCATTAAATTAAGAATAGGTTTTAAGTTTAATTTTTAAAAAATTGGCATCTCTTGAGATGACCATCTTTTCTTCCATCTTTTTTAAATGAAGAGAAACAACAATTTATAAGTTGTTGTTGATAATGGTGAACCATTCTTGCATTTCAGAGACAAAACCTTCTTGACCATGATGTATTTATTCTTTTTAACAAATTTTTCTACAAAATTTTATCTCCTTTTGTTTGATTTAGGCTATCTTGCTTAGGGTTTTATATGTATAGATGAGAATTATCTGTACTTTGAGGGTTTGTTAGACTTATTTGTTAAAATAGCTGGACGTGGTTTGTTTTTAGGGTTAGCTCTTTGAGTTCATTTTTCACTCTTCTAAGATTATTTGCCAATTCAGGCTTTTGTCTTTTTGGTCAATTTTGATATTTTGTATTTTCCTAGATATTTTAATATTTTGCTTAGGTTTTCAGGTATATGTGCATAAGGTCGTACATGAAATCCTATTAATGAAAGCCTGTGTGGTCGTCACGCCCTCACGCCATGACGCCCTCACGCCGCAACGAGCGATCACCAGGAGGCTGCATGCGCAGCGGGCTCGTGCACAGCATGGAGGCCGGTCCCACGGCTCCGCGTGGCAAGGCCTGGAGGTCCTGCGGCTCTGTGTGGCACAGAGGCGGGACCCCCGGCTCCAGCCTACCTCTTTGGGGCAATCCATCGAGGAACCCTGGATGGGTGGACGGGGCCTACCTCTTTGGGGAGATCGATCGTGGGGCTCCCACACTGTGAGACAGCACAGGCCAGGCTGGGGGACACCCCCCTCCCCCCAGTTCACGAATTTCATGCACCGGGCCTCTAGTTTTCTTCTTTTTTAAAAAAAATATATATTTTATTGATTTTTTACAGAGAGGAAGGGAAAGGGATAGAGAGTTAGAAACATCGATGAGAGAGAAACATCGACCAGCTGCCTCCTGCACATACCCTACTGGGGATGTGCCCGCAACCAAGGTACATGCCCTTGACTGGAATCGAACCTGGGACCCTTCAGTCCACAGGCTGACGCTCTATCCACTGAGCCAAACCAATCAGGGCTCTAGTTTTCTTATAAATGTGAATATGTTTGGGTATATAAAGAAAAATATGGAGAGATATATTAGAAACTTAATGATGGTTATCTATGGGAAGTGGCAGTGGAATCGGGAATGATATAGTCTTTAAAAATCTTATATCCTTGGGCAATGTGGGAATTTTCAAATAATGGACTTGTTTTACTTTCATAATTAAAAAGAGTGTTATTTCAAACTTTTAAAAATGAAAAAGTATGGATTGTTGCAAGGAATATAGTCATCTTACCTGTCTCAGCGCATCTTACCTGTATGTTTTCTTCTCAAGCTGGACTCTGGACTGTCTTCACCCTGGGCGGCGTGGGAAGCAAAGCGGCCAACACACCGGCACTTTCTTCCCCTCTGGCCAACCAGAGTCTCCTGCTCCTGCTGGTGCTGGCCAACCTGACAGATGCTGCAGATGCCCCAAACCCCTACCGACAGGCCATCATATCCTTCAAGAACACACAAGGTTTGTGGGGTTTTCTCTGAGTATGTTTTCTAATGAGGAAAGAGGGTGCTGTTTACCCTGTATTGCTTATTGCCTTATAGTTGTGGAGATGACGGTCCAGTATATTTCATACTGATTAATGATGAGAATAGCTTAGATTTTCCTGCCTGTATTCTCAGAAAAGTCAGGTAAATCTTAGATGAGGGCTGTGCTTCCTTATATGCGTTTAAATTTGCATTTCTTTCCGAGATAACCCGGCCAGCAAGTGCTTAATTTGGATCCATCTATCCTACCTGTTAGGGATGAAAATAAACCTAACAAAACTCTAAATGATAGGTTGTTTGACAATGTTCACTCAAAGTCTAGAGTTTTATAGAACTAAAAATTAGAACTGAACTGAGCAAACTTTTTCTTCAAAGGGGCAGATGGCTTTGCATGGCCATGTGGTCTCTGTCACCACCTCTTAACTCTGCCATCACAGCACAAAGCAGGCATAGATAATACATAAGTGAGTGTGCATGGCTGGTTCCAATAAAACTTTATTTCCAAACAACTGGTGGGCTGTTTGTGGGGTGTAGTTTGCCAAACCATGTGGTAGATAGAGCATAAGTAGAAAGTTATATGTTGAAACAGTACTCTCTTATCAAAAGGTTATACTCTAAAAGCAAGGTAAGTATGGTAGGCTAGATTATCGAGATGTACCCCAACATTCACATAATTGAGATGGGTGAAAAGTACAGTCATTAGATAGGAATTTTTAAGGTTTCTGATGCACTTTGCCCTGCTTCTTCGCAGAACTTTTCTAATATGCTTCTTATAGACCGTGGATGAGTGTGCCAGTTAGTTGTGGCTTTGCTAATTCTGGTATTATTATGTACCGGGGAATAGGAAGTCTCATAATTTGATAGATTAGAAGTGAAAGCTCACGTATCTAATAGTATTTTCTATGGTCACTTCAGATCTGCGAGGCCTTTCACAGTTTGCTTAATGTCAGTAAGCCTCAGTGGCTTTGTCTGCAAAATGAAGATAATATGACTAATAGTATTTGTATAAGTACCAAGCAAGGTAAGGTTTTTAAATGATTAGCTCAGATTTTGCAACAAAGCAAGTGTCCCATTTTGTGGTATCTCTACTATTGTTACTTCTGCTGCTCTGGCCAAATGTTACTATTTGGGCTTGAACCTTCCTGAGATGGTCATCTTTCAGAGACTGTGCAGTACACTGATCCAGAACATTGGCTTCAGAGTTAGACTGACCTGGCTTCATAGCCCAGTCTTTATTTGTTACATACTAGTTTCTTTATTCATGAAGCAGAAGTTATAATCTCTATAGCTTAAGGTTTTTATAAGAATTAAATGAGCATCTGTCATAGTACTGACTCCCTGAATTATTGCTATTATTAAAGAAGCAGTATTATGTCGTGAAAACAATAGAAGCTAATTGATCTGTTTTTTACTCAGGGCTAATCTTGGAAAATGTACTTAATCCCTCTGAGCTTCTATTTCATCCTTTGTAAAACTGGTGCGAGCAATGACATGGTTATTGCCTGGATTAAATAAGGGATGGTGCACATAACCATTGGAAAGATGCTTAGATGCTACAGAGAAATAAATTGGTCCAGTGTTTTTTTATTCTTTGTATGTGTGTGTGTGAGACTGTTTTAGTTCTACTCTCAGAAAATTTCAGTTATACAATACAGTGTTATCACCTCTGTATTGTTTTACATTTAGTTATTTTTAAAGTAGAATTTTAAGTATAAATTGAAATTTTGAATCTGAAAGGTAGCAACATATAAAATTAATGGGAATTGAATTATATACATGAGTGGGCTTTTATTATTTATAAAGGGCATAGTCTAGAAAATACTGATGAAATATTTAAAAAATTTTCTGTTTTCTGTATTCCAGATAACAGTCCTTTCCCCTCGTCAATTCCACATGCTTTCCAGATTAATTTTAACAGTTTGTACACGACTCTGTGTGAGCAGCAGACGTCTGATCAGGCAACTCTCCTATTGTATACATTGCTCCATCAGAATAGTAATATTAGAACGTACATGTTGGCTCGCACAGATATGGAAAATCTTGTAAGTATCATGCTAAACATTTCATGCTTTTTGTATTTTATAGTATTTTGAAGAATAATTTCTTTTCCCCAGAGGGGCAGTGTATTTGCTTGGTTGCTACAAGGTGATGGTTGAGAAATCAACGGGGAGATGTCACCTGATAGGCAAAGGTATGCGCTTGGCAATGTAGAGACAGAGCACGTAGAGATGGCACCACAGAGTGGAGAAGGCAGCAGCACCACAGCTTCCCTGTCTGTAGGTCTTTACCAGCCGCCCACTGCTGGCAGCCAAAGGGATGTCCCCTCTGCACTGGTTTTGACAGGTTGACAGCAGGATTCACGAGGCATTTGGTAGCCTTTTTTTTTTTTAGTGTTAAAGATAGAATACTGAGTAGTGTGGGATATTAAAATTCATTTGAAGAGCATGTCCTATGTCAAAGTGACAGTGAGGACAAAAAACATGATGAAAGAACTTATCTCCATACCTATACGTGGAAAACATTGGCTTAAATAGCAAAATCGGGTATAACAGTGTACTACCTATGTGAGTGAAAACTTACAGCGAGAAGGTCTGTTTACTGAGCACAGACAATTCTGAGTAAGATGTATTCTAAGGGAAATGATAACAATAAGCAGAAAGCCTGTGACATCACCTGTTCTGGAAAGTTCTGTGGTATAGAGATTGGTATGATGCAGGGATGACCTGGCCGGTGTGGCTCAGTTGGGTGGAGTGTCATCCTGTACACCAAAAGGTGGTGGGTTCGATTCCCAGTCAGGGCACATGCCCAGGTTATGGGTTCGAGCCCCAGTTGGTGCACGTGTGGGAGGCAACCAACCGTTTCTCTCTGTCTCTCTCTCCCTCCCTTTCTCTAAGATCTTTTTTTTTAAATGATGCAGGAGCAGTTGTCTATATGATATACACCAGTGAAAAGTTAAAAGGTTTTGTTTTTACTTGGGAGGGTGGAGTAGGGTTTCTCCATTTGTTTGTTGTTTTTACATTTCTTGCATAGGTTACTCTGATAATGTCTCATCTGATGTCTCTATCTGTCCTTTTGCCTTTCTTCAATAGTAAATACTTGTTGAAGCTACGATGAGAAGATATGTTATGGGTAGAAAATTTATTGTGCTGATCTGATGTTTGTCAGGTAGCAATTCTTTTATTTTACAGTCTTTGTTATTAGGAAGGTAGTGTTTGACGCATGACTGTTCCTGAGAATACTTTATTGTGTGTAAGTTCCTAGTAGGCTGGAGGCAGACCTGCCTCTGTTCAGGTCCGTGCTGACTGGGAGCCTACGTGGTCTCTGCAAACCCACCCTTCATGTATCAGCAGACCAACTCGGTGGTGATTTCCTCTGCTGGCGTCTTAGCTGTTCATGTGGAAAGTCCTTTCAGTCAGAGACGGGTTTGTGTGTCTTTTTCCTCTAAAGAAAAATGTAACTATGAAGTTAAGCAAAGGGTAGATAATAAAAGTATAAAAGTTTAAGACATTGGTCTCATAATAATGTGATAGAAGCAGTAAAGTAAAATTTCTATTCCCTAGGTTTTACCAATTCTTGAGATTCTGTATCATGTTGAAGAAAGAAACTCACACCACGTGTATATGGCGCTTATAATATTGTTGATCCTTACAGAAGATGATGGCTTCAATAGGTCCATTCACGAAGTGGTAAGTCCCCCTTACTTCGATCAGAGTTAGAGTTTCAGAATCGATATGTTCCGCCAGACGTTTTACTGAGACTTAGCATTTCTTCCTTCTTTTCCTTCTGGTAGCTGTTTCTGAGAGAACCTGACTTAGAAATCATCTGTGAACCATTTATCAAATGGTGTTTGTTTTTCTGAATGACTAGGAGACTAGTAGACTATTAAAAAAGCTCTCAAGATGGTTTCTTTAGTAATTGACGCAAATGTTTTTGTTGCCAGTGGGTTCATTTTTCTTCTTCATTTCATGTCCACTTTTCAGTAGAGACAGAAATTGTCCAACAGGTTTGCTCTCTGTATACAGAATGAGTGAAAGAATATGGAATAAAGGGAAGAAGACTGAGAAATCAGTTGTTTTATTTTTTAAAGGGCAGTGTAATATGCCCAGCAGGCATGGCTCAGTGCTTGAGCGTGAACCCATGAACCAGGAGCTCACGGTTCGATTCTCTGTCAGGGCATATGCCAGGGTTTTGGGCTTGATCCCCAGTCGGGGGCATGCAGGAAGCAGCCGATCAATAATTCTCTCTCATCATTGATGTTTCTCTCTGTCTCTCTCCCTTCCTCTCTAAAATAAATTATATATAAAATTCATGATAAACTTAAACAGAAAAAAAGACAGTGTAATATAATTTTAATCTTTAAATGTTAGTCTTGCTGGTGAATTACATTCCCAAATTGATTTTATCTCCCTTTTTGGTATTTTCTTTTTTTTTTTTAAATATGTTTTATTGATTTTTTACAGAGAGGAAGGGAGAGAGAGATAGAGAGTTAGAAACATCGATGAGAGAGAAACATCGATCAGCTGCCTCCTGCACATCTCCTACTGGGGATGTGGCCGCAACCCAGGTACATGCCCCTGACCAGAATCGAACCTGGGACCTTTCAGTCCGCAGGCCGACGCTCTATCCACTGAGCCAAACCGGTTTCGGCTTGGTATTTTCTTTATAACATTGAAAATGTTTGTGTCCATGTAATATATAGACATAGTGTTAAAACATATAGAAAGAAGTAGTAGGTTTTTTTTAAATTTTATTTTTCAATTATAGTTGACACAATATTATATTAGTTTCAGATTTACAACAGTGATTAGACACTTAAATACCATATGAAGTGATCTCCATGAGAAGTCTAGAACCCTCTGCACCATACATAGTTATTACAATACTAGAGGCCCAGTGCATGGATTCATGCACATTGAAAGTAAATTAATTAGAAGGTGGCCGGCGGGGGTCCTTCGGCCTGACCTGTGGGGATCGGGCCGAAACCGACAGTCTGACATCCCCCAAGGGGTCCTGGAGTGCGAGAGGGCACTCTGCAAAGTTTCTGTCGCTTGGCAGCTCCTGTGTTGAGCGTCTGCCCCCTGGTGGTCAGTGCGTGTCATAGGGCCGGTTGGCTGGTTGCTTAGGCTTTTATATATATAGATTACTGACTATATTCTCCATGCTGTACTTCACATCCTGTGACTATTTTTGTAACTGGCAGTTTATATGGAAGTACTAGGTTTTTGTGAAAAATAGCGCATCCCGTGTCTACCCATTTTCTCTCTCTCTCTCTCTCTGATACCCATGTTACAAATCTACAGTGAAACTGTGCCAACTTAAATTAGAAAACATTTCTTGCTTACTGAGGCCTGGAGGTGAGCTGCCTGCTCTGAGTAGACAGAACAGAACACAGGGACAGTTGTTCTGGAAGATCGTGGCTGTTTGCATTCCTGGCCTTCCCCTGAACACAGCATGGAGCTTTCTGCGGTTGGGAGAGCTCTACTTCTTGAGAGACTCCTTGGTTTTCTTATGTTCACTTTCAGACTGCTGAGCTCTGACTGTTTTTCTCTCAGTCCTGTCCTATGTGCCATTCCTCCTGTTTGTCTACTAATGATAACCTCCTGTCTTCCAGACCTGTTTTTTTTTTCTTTCTTTTATATTTAAGAAGCAAGGGGGAAGGAGACATAAACACAGCACAGTTTGGCTATCTTGAACTCAAAGTCTCACACTGCACTTTTACTAGTATATTCTGTTTAACTCAGAGCATAGCCACGGCTTATCCGAAATTATATAGACATGGACAGTCCTTTTTTCCTAAGTCAATCATGTTAACTTAAACCTTTCTTCCCCATTACAGATATTAAAAAATATTACTTGGTATTCAGAACGGGTTTTAACAGAAATTTCACTGGGGAGTCTCCTAATACTGGTCGTAATAAGAACCATTCAGTACAACATGACAAGGACAAGAGTAAGTATTCCAAAGCTGCTCTATTATCTATAATGCATATGGTGCGATTAAGACTATAGTTGAAAGCACTCTCAATATTGAGAGTGCCAATGTTCTCATGAAGTACAGTAGAAAAATACAGATCAGCTTATAGTCACTGTATTACATGATCTTAAGGTACTATATATAGTATCTGTTCCTTAATATTTAATAGACTGCATGATTAGAGACATTTTACATGAGATCAAAAACAAGCAGTGGAGCACATTTAAATAAAAGATGCTGTACATCTTTGCTGGACTGATAAAACTGATTTGCCTTTTAAAAACAACAGCAAACTAAGAAGATATGAGTAGAATAAAAATGAATTCAGTTGGGAGGAAAATAGAAGAAAGAACACTTTTAAAGAGTAAAGGGAAAATTTCAAATGGATTGTATTTGCAGTACCTGGGGGCAAATTTCAGTCCCGGTCAATAGAGAAGCCATATACAGAATTCATAACTCAGAGACATGGTCAAGTTTACTGACCTGTTTTCAATTATTTCCTCTGTGGGGCTAACGTAGATACATGTTCAGAATCTTCTATCTGAAACGCTAGGAGCCAGATGTGTGTTAGAATGGAGAATGTTTTGATTTTAGAAAGATAATTATAGAGCAGATGCTTACTCTATGTAGCCATTAGGTTCTGGAGCAGCACACTGTAATTAAACATTAATATTTCTGCAGCAGAATACTTCAGTATTCACCAGGGCAGGGTAATGAGGACCACAAATAGCCTATGCTCTTTGCCAGATGTTGCTTCCAAATGCGTGGTGAAAACACTTTGAACTTTCAGTGCTTTATCGGTTTTTGGAATTAGGGAAAATGATTGTGGACCTGAGCTTTCAACAATCAATGAAAATCGAGTTTACATTTGCTTCTAATTAGCCTTGCTTACAACGCAGAGAAGACTTGATAAATGTTTTCAACTTGCTGTTTTCTGACAGGACAAGTACCTTCACACAAATTGTTTGGCAGCTTTAGCAAATATGTCAGCCCAGTTCCGTTCTCTCCATCAGTATGCTGCCCAGAGGATCATCAGGTAAATATGAGCTTTAAAAGAAATCCTGATTTTTGTTTTCTGGCTGTCCTATGGAAAAGGATAGGATGATGTTTCCTTTTTAAATGTTATCTGTAAGAGTATCAAATCATCACACTTAATTTTTATCACCTGTTTGGTTGAAAATACCTTGTTCTTCTCTGTTACTAAGCTAACTTTTCAATCAAAATTAATTGTATTTACTTTCAACCATTTTATAAATCTGGTTTTAAGCTTTGTATATTAGCTTTTTTAAATATTTATATATATTTATTGATTTCAGAGAGGAAGGGAAAGGGAGAGAGAGATAGAAACATCAATGATGAGAGAGAATCACTGATCGGCTGCCTCCTTCACACCCCTTACTAGGGAAGGAGCCTGCAACCCGGGCATGTGCACTTGACCGGAATTGAACCCGGGACCCTTCAGTCCACAGGCCGACGCTCTATCCACTGAGCCAAACCGGCTAAGGCTTTTTAAGAGACGCAGGCATATTTCTTAGTAATGCAAACTACATTTTAATTAACACATTCGTTGAGCTTTTTCTAGAGCATCACACTTCCCTTCTGAGGAGTTACCTGTGTGTGTGTTGTAGAATTCTTTTTATAGCATATTGGTATACCATATAGTTTTTATACCATATAGTTTCTTTTTATAGCATATTATTTTCCTATTGCTGCCACAAAGTAGTGACTTAAAACAACACAAATTTGTTATATCATTCTGTATTAGAAGTTCAACACGGTTTCACTGGGCTAAATCAAGATGTCAATAGGGCTGCAACCCTTTCTGGTTGCTCCACAGGAGAATGTTCCCTCGCCTTTTCCAGGTGCTAGAAGCTGCCCACATTCCTTGGCTCATGACCCCTTCCGCCATCTGCAAGGCCCCAACAGTAGGTTGTTGAGTCCTCCTCACACCCCCTCACATCTCCTCTTCCACTTTGAGGATTCTTGTTATTGCCTGGGCCCTACCCGGATAACCCAGGAAAATCTGCCGTCTCAAGGTCCTTAACTGAATCATCACTGCAAGCCCCTTTGCCATGTAAGGTACATACTCACAGGTGCAGGGGCTAGAATGTGGACGTTTGGCCTGTTCAGTATGAAAACGCCAGATGAGCTGGTTTAGAACTTAAATTCTTATAAAATATATGAAGCAAGATTAAATAAAAATTTTCTAGGTATAAGAGTTGGAAAAAATGCAAATAAAGCACTGTGCCCAGTTTTCTATGTGTGATGACTAAAGTGGAAAACCATTATTTTGGAGAAATAAAAGCCCTAATTTAGATTTGTGATTTGGGAATATTTTGATCACGTTTAGCATCAGTAAGGAGTAGAGCTTTGACTTTATTTTAATGGAGTTGTATTTAGTTATAAAATTACCTGCCCTCAGGTAGCTAGTACTTGAATAGTGGAGATATGACAAGCACCAACATATATTATATACAACAGACTGTCATAAACATTAGAATGAAAGAAAAGTTCCTGTGGTGAGAGGTTGTTCAGGGAGTAGTGAGATCACATCTCATTGAGAAATTAGGCAAAGTAGACAGAGAGAGATGGCCTGAGACAGGAAAGCATCAACCACAGCAAACCAAACCAAAACAAGAGGAGTCGGGGGGGAGAGCATGGTTCATATTTAGAAAATAACCTGCCCCATTCAGCCTCTACAGGGATTATAGGAGAGAAACCTCAAAGAACCAGCTGAGGCCTTCACTGTCAGATCACAGCTTAGGATAATGAAAGCAATAGAGAGGAAAGAAGGCAACAGAATAAAAAATGTGAATGAATGAACCGTAAATGATTTAAAAGAAATAATTTAATGTAAACTTCTAGAGTCGTCATTTGCAGCAGAGGTGATGTTAGCATGCCCTGTTTGGCACAGAGGGGCGTGCAGTTCTGTGCCGTGCCCTGTGCTACCAGCGCTGGCCCAGGGGCCGCAGCGGTGCAGAGTGAGGACCAGAGCGTCCGCATCACCCAGGACGGTGATTTCCTGTTAGAAAGGCAGTGTCCACCAGCTGCACACCCCGAATCAGATCTTCATTCTAACAGAATCCCCACATGATTTGTATAGTAAAGTTTGGAAAGCACTTTGAATTTGGGCTTGGAAATCAAGATTTATTTCTTAGAAAACACTTGTCTCGAATTGGAAATGGGGCCCAGCTTTTTTGCATCGTGAGGAAACTCATTCTGTACTAAATGTTTGTGCTTAGGGTACAGAACTGTAAAGTATGATACGGAACGGATGCATAACAAACACTGTTTAGATGCACAGATTTATCATAACAGTGCAACCCAGTTCACCAGATGCTCTAGTGACTCCTTCAAGTGAGAAGGCATCAGTTTCCATAGACGTTTTCTAAATCCTCTTTCAGGAAGCGACTGTACAGTTTTATATCTGCCAGTTGCAACACTTAGAAGAGCCAATATTTCATGTGATCTTTACCAAAATGCAAAACAGTAACATGCTTCATTGCTGAGAAAATAGGATGTGAATAAAGCCTTTAAAAACCTTTTAGCTGGATATAAATGTAAGGAATGATTTCATATGGTGTCTAAGCTACTGTTTTATATTTAATGACAACATGTCTTCTACAAATTTGGTATTCTAGAAAAATCACAAACATGATTTAGGTTTTGCTCATCTATGAAGATTCAGAATATGCTATAAGCATGGATATTTGATACCATTATTTGGGACGAGGCTTATTAATTCAAGTAAAAACATTTATAAAAAGTAGACTGTATGTAAGGGATTGCTGTGGGTTACAAGGATATCATTACTTGCTGCCCTTAAGACTTCTCCTCTTGTGTTGTCCCCCCACTGGCTCCTTCCTCTAGCTCCTCCCTCACATTTGGCTTAACAGATACTTTCTCTAATCTTTCATCCTAAATTGTTTTTTTTCTCTCTGCTCATTTTTCCTGGGAGTTCACATATATGCCTATAGCTTCATCGCTATGCACTTGAATAAAATAATCCTGATCTTTCTCTTTGTCTCCGGAGGCAGGCAGTAGAGTATAGTGGTTCAGAGCACAAGCTGAGTTTGGATGCCAGCTCCAAAACCTGCTAGCTGTGGAATCTTAGAGAAGTTCCTTGACTTCTCCAGGCAGCAGTTTCCCCACCTGTAAGGTTGGTGACAGCAGTTACTATATTATCTCAGTGGATATGGTGAGGATTAAGTGAGTTAATACTTATAAAGGGCCTGACACATAGCACGTACTGTAACTGTTGGCTAGCTGAACCCTAACTCTACTAACCTCATTGCCTGGATATCCAACACTTTACTCAGACTTTTATTCTGTTTAAAACTATACTTATTTTTTAAACATGTTCTTCCTTTTAAATTTCCTATCCTAAGTAATGACCCTCACTGCTGCCACCTAAATTGCCAAACCAGAAACCAAGTAATTTCCTACCATTTCTCCCTTCCCCTCAAACGCTATGTCCAGTTGTGCCCTGGAATCCTGTCTAACTCTACCATTATAATTTGCTTTAATACTCCCTTTTCTGTCTCCACTCTTGCTGTCTTGGTTCACGTGTTCATGATGGTCACCAAACAGTGTCATTTGTCTGCTGGTCCTTCTGCCTCCCTACTTGTCCCTCCACAGTCGACCTCCCTACTGCTGCATTCTTTTGAAAAGCATGTCTGATCTTACTGCTCCCTGTACTTAAAATCATTAAATGTCTTCCCGTTGCTGACAGGTTTAAATTCAACCTCCTGAGAGCAGAAGCTCTCCACTGTGGGTGATTTTGTCCCCAGGGGGCATTGGCAGTGTCTGGAGTACTTTTTTATGTATTGTTTCTGTTGTTATTGCTACAACAGGGGAGGAGGTTGCTACTGACATCTAGTGGGTAGAGGCCAGGGATGTTGCTAAACATCTTATGATACACAGGACAACAAATAGCTATCTAGCCCAAAATGTCACTAGTGCTGAGGCTGAGGAACCTTGCCTGAGAGTGACATGATCTAGGCCCTTCCCTTTGCTCTTCATCTTCAATTACTATTTCCACTCACTGCTCTGTCCTTCCTGAGTGGGTACAGTTCCCTGCTCTGCACAGCTGCACTCCTGCGTCTGGATAAATGTGGTCTGGAATTAGAAAAAAAGCTGAGCCAGTTCCTGGTATCACCTCTTCTTTCTGTAGGGTTTTCCCCACCAGTTTCCTCCTCTCTATTCTGTTTTATCTTGAACCTGCAATGGTCAAGCCCCCCACTCTGTCCCACCCCAACCCACCCCCAGCTCCTAGACCTTCTAACTTTAGACCCAGCTGCTGCTAGCACAGTCACTTCATACTTTCCTCTTCATATTAGAAAGAGAAAGAACCCAGGGGCCTGTTCATCTCTTTGTAACAAGCAGCCCTCAGTCTCTCATTCCGGCCCAGGGCTAGTTCCTGGGACAGGAGCAGGGGAGCAGGCCAGGAAAGGAGAAAGTCACATGTTAGAAAATATAGCTGTGGCGACCTGCTTCTATCAGAGGCTGGTGTAGGGGAGAGAGAACTTCAGAATCTTGACTTTGTGGCACACTGGCCTGGCCTGAAGGTTCAAGTCTTGTTGTTTAAGCAGTGTAGTAATTACTGGAGATAAAAGACTTGTCTTATATAATTCTTTGCATTACTTTACAGACAGAGTAGCTCTCAGACACCCAATAGACGTTTTTGTTTTGTTAATCCTCACCCTAGGATATTTTTTCCATTGATTTTTAGAGAGAGTGGAAGGGAAAAGGAGAGACACAGAGAGAGAAACACCGGATGTGAGAGAGACACATCTATTGGTTGCCTCCCGAGATTGAGCCTGCAACCAAGATAGGTGCCCTTGACTGGAATCGAACCCAAGACCCTTCAGTCTGAGGGCTGATGCACTAACCACTGAGAAAAACCATTTAGGGTCACAATAGACCTCTAATAAATGCGTAGTGACTTATTCTTAGAAGATGGGCTGGCATGTGGGATTTTAAGCTTAGTTCTGAGACCACATAAGCTGATTCAACTCTGGCCACGTTCTGCAGATA